TTCTAGTTCAGTTCTAGTTCAGTTCTAGTTCAGTTCTAGTTCAGTTCTAGTTCAGTTCTAGTTCAGTTCTAGTTCAGTTCTAGTTCAGTTCTAGTTCAGTTCTAGTTCAGTTTCTAGTTCAGTTCTAGTTCAGTTCTAGTTCAGTTCTAGTTCAGTTCTAGTTCAGTTCTAGTTCAGTTCTAGTTCAGTTCTAGTTCAGTTCTAGTTCAGTTCTAGTTCAGTTCTAGTTCAGTTCTAGTTCAGTTCTAGTTCAGTTCTAGTTCAGTTCTAGTTCAGTTCTAGTTCAGTTCTAGTTCAGTTCTAGTTCAGTTCTAGTTCAGTTCTAGTTCAGTTCTAGTTCAGTTCTAGTTCAGTTCTAGTTCAGTTCTAGTTCAGTTCTAGTTCAGTTCTAGTTCAGTTCTAGTTCAGTTCTAGTTCAGTTCTAGTTCAGTTCTAGTTCAGTTCTAGTTCAGTTCTAGTTCAGTTCTAGTTCTTTCTAGTTCAGTTCTAGTTCAGTTCTAGTTCAGTTCTAGTTCAGTTCTAGTTCAGTTCTAGTTCAGTTCTAGTTCAGTTCTAGTTCAGTTCTAGTTCAGTTCTAGTTCAGTTCTAGTTCAGTTCTAGTTAAGTTCTAGTTCAGTTCTAGTTCAGTTCTAGTTCAGTTCTAGTTCAGTTCTAGTTCAGTTCTAGTTCAGTTCTAGTTCAGTTCTAGTTCAGTTCTAGTTCAGTTCTAGTTCAGTTCTAGTTCAGTTCTAGTTCAGTTCTAGTTCAGTTCTAGTTCAGTTCTAGTTCAGTTCTAGTTCAGTTCTAGTTCAGTTCTAGTTCAGTTCTAGTTCAGTTCTAGTTCAGTTCTAGTTCAGTTCTAGTTCAGTTCTAGTTCAGTTCTAGTTCAGTTCTAGTTCAGTTCTAGTTCAGTTCTAGTTCAGTTCTAGTTCAGTTCTAGTTCAGTTCTAGTTCAGTTCTAGTTCAGTTCTAGTTCAGTTCTAGTTCAGTTCTAGTTAAGTTCTAGTTCAGTTCTAGTTCAGTTCTAGTTCAGTTCTAGTTCAGTTCTAGTTCAGTTCTAGTTCAGTTCTAGTTCAGTTCTAGTTCAGTTCTAGTTCAGTTCTAGTTCAGTTCTAGTTCAGTTCTAGTTCAGTTCTAGTTCAGTTCTAGTTCAGTTCTAGTTCAGTTCTAGTTCAGTTCTAGTTCAGTTCTAGTTTTCGAAATCTGTTTGATATAAATGAAGATTCCATCGAATTGTTCTATATTTAAGCAACAGGTTTAGTGTTTGCCAATGACAATTGTTTGAATTTTTTTTCGCACACACAACTTTATTATAAATCACATGTTGTAAATACGTTGTTTTCCATTTAATCGCATTTAAAGATTGATGTGTTTTTTAATTTGATTTTTTTTAAGTTTTACTCCAATACTAGTTTCTCATTATTGACTTGCTATGGTCTTGCTAATAAATGTTAACCAAAAGTGTAGCAAAAATCTATAAAACTAATGTTAAGGTTTTGTTTTTTGTTTCATTACAGTTTAACAAAGATCATGGTCGTGACTTTGTAACTTGTTGTTTTAGCTCTGGTGTACTCCGGCTCTAAATGTCTGGCAATACTATGAGCGGGAGTTTTAATTGAGATAAACAAAAGTTTTTTTCAATTGCCCACAAGACTAAAGTTCCATGATCGTGTGTGTGTGTGTATATATGTTTGTGTTAGAGCCGTGCTTTAATTACTTTTAGTTACAAACAAATAAAAATAAAATTTAAGTATGGTCAATATAAATGCAGTTGGGTTTAAATTCTGTAACGATTTGTTATAACTCAAAATAAAATGAAAAACTCGTGCCATTAGCTGTCAATCACATACAGTACAATAGTCATAAATTAAAGTGTATTAATTGTTGAAATATACAAAGAAATCAAAAGTATGCATGTGTTTATACAACCCAATAAACATCGATTCAAACCTGTGAATATTTTTGAAAATGTTCTTAACTAAATAATGTATTTTCCAAATTGTTTTCAAATTTTAAAGTTTAGCCTTTGAAATAAACATGATAATTTCAAAAAACGTTTAAAAAAATATAATGTGTGATATTTATAAAATTTTCAAAGTTTTGTTTTAATTGAACTTAGAAAAGTTTCTTTCAAAAAATAAATTATTTTAGAAAAATAAAAACAGAACATTTTTTCTACAGCAAGGGAGCGAAAAAACGTTAATTATAGGAGAAATAATCGGAGATATAAAAGAAAAATATGCTAAAATAAATGTATGAATGTTTTATTTTCAGGTGATGTAAAAAAATATATGAATTTTGCAATAGTTAGCATTATAATTAGGGTTTGAAATATGTATGAAAATAATAATAAAGAATACTTGAAATACGTTTGAAAATTTTTTTAGTTTCAAGCTTACCTCTAGCATTTTTTTAAATTTAAAATACAATTGAAAAATACGTTTGATTTCTAACTGCCTTTTTGTTTGAGAAGGCCATAATTTTCCATTTGAAAACAAAAATTTTCAAATTTGTTCTCAAAGGCTATGTATGAAATTTGAATAGGTTTTCAAATACATATTTACATCATTTCAAAGGTTTTTGCTTATTGGGAAGTATTTAAAATTAGATGAATATAAACTGAAACTAAACTAAAACTAAATGGAAGTTATTGGAAGAAGCAATTACTTTTATTTTGATCTAGTTTATACTGGGTCACAATTACGTTGTTACTTTTAAAAGTAAATCACTTTTGAGTGGATTTAGTTAAGGCATGATTTAGCCTTACCTTTTTGAACTCAGGCAATTCATTACTTTTGGTATGTTTAATTATGAAACGTTTTTAGTTATAGACAATTTGAATATCCACATTCAACAATTTCTTTTTAAAATGTAAAGGTTTAGTGCAATAATGTGATAAGTTATACAAGTGGACTTTTGATTAACAAATATTACATTGTGCAATATTGTTGAATGGAAATTAATCAAAAACTTACCTTGCAATAAAAGCAGCAATTGTTTAATCTGGAAAAGAGATTAAAAAAAATTTTTTAATTTTAGTTTAAAACAAAAATTTCATATTCAAAGTATGTTATTGTTGTGTTATTAGGTCCTATTTCGACCTAAGATTTATAAAGGGTCATAGTCTAGTTCAGTTTAAATTAAGTTCTATTTTAGCTCTAGATTAGTTCTAGCTTAGTTCCTGATTAGTTCTACTTCAGGTCTAGTTAAGTTGTTGTTAAGTTCTAGATCAGTTCTGGTTCTAATTTAGTTCTAGTTCAGTTCCAGTTCAGTTCTATTTCAGTTCTAGTTCAGTTCTAGTTCAGTTCTAGTTCAGTTCTAGTTCAGTTCTAGTTCAGTTCTAGTTCAGTTATAGTTCAGTTCTAGTTCAGTTCTAGTTCAGTCCTAGTTCAGTTCTAGTTCAGTTCTAGTTCAGTTCTAGTTCAGTTCTAGTTCAGTTCTAGTTTAGTTCTAGTTCAGTTCTAGTTCAGTTCTAGTTCAGTTCTAGTTCAGTTCTAGTTAAGTTCTAGTTCAGTTCTAGTTCAGTTCTAGTTCAGTTCTAGTTCAGTTCTAGTTTAGATCTAGTTTAGATCTAGTTCAGATCTAGTTCAGTTCTAGTTCAGTTGTAGTTCAGTTCTAGTTCAGTTCTAGTTCAGTTCTAGTTCAGTTCTAGTTCAGTTCTAGTTCAGTTCAGTTCTAGTTCAGTTCTAGTTCAGTTCTAGTTCAGTTCTAGTTCAGTTCTAGTTCAGTTCTAGTTCAGTTCTAGTTCAGTTCTAGTTCAGTTCAGTTCTAGTTCAGTTCTAGTTCAGTTCTAGTTCAGTTCTAGTTCAGTTCTAGTTCAGTTCTAGTTCAGTTCTAGTTCAGTTCTAGTTTAGTTCTAGTTGTTTAAATATTGAAGTAAAATGGTGATTTTTTATTGACGTTTTTGTTTTTGATAAATTTGCAACCTTAAATTTTCCGCATGTCTTCACATTTCGTGTGTGAGTTGACGGAAATGTTAAGTTCAAAATTTACTGTTTAACATTTTCCTACACTTACATTTATATTTATTACACATGTAAACATATTTGTTTTGTTTACAGATATGTGTATGTATATAGACATGATTTTTGTGTAAAAAATCAACAATGTAATTCGTAAAGTTTAAATAAAAATTGATGATTGCATTAAAAGAGAGTAAAAACCTATTAGGAAAAAGTATAACAAAATCTATATTGTATTCAAATTTAAAAAATAACAAAATGAGAAAACAATTTTGAAATTTAAAAAATTCTGAAATTCTTACAAATTAATTTCATTACAACATTATCATTACTATCTGAATTAAAATTTCTACTGGGTCATGTTAGTACAGACACTTCCATGTCATTATCAAATCGTATTTGGTAGATCTTAATCTTTACAACATAGTTTTTGTTATTATTTTGTTGTAACCAAAATGTTGTAAATATTGTGATACTTTTTCATAGTTAGCTTTTTGTATTTGTTTGTTGGTTAACTTAACATTACAACAGTTGCATAAAACTACCAATGACGATTTTTTTTTGTTGTAAATATGGTAGTTATTGGTTTTGTTTCTTTCGATATCATAATATTTTATGTCTCAATGAAGTTAAACATGAGTTTTCTTCGAAATTTATTATTTTGTTTTTGTTTATTTTTTTTGTTGCTGTGAGAAAATTGTACAAGTTTTAGTACTTTTCACTAGATGATTATCATTGATCTATGAATTGCTTATGACTTGTCGTTTTTTTTGACTTTAGCTATGACTCTCTACAAAAAAGCATTTTGTTTTTTTCTTAGATTAACAATCTTTTAGTTTTTTTTTTTTGTTTTCGATGTTAGTTTACAATACAATTGTAGCTATTGTTTTTAAGCTTCAATAAGTTTTTTGTCGTAATACTTCCTGTCAAGGTGTGTAAATTACGTTACTTTTAGATTTTGGTTGTTTTACTTTTGCAATAGGGGGTTTTAGTTTAGTAAGCACTAAGCAAAGACATTTAAACTTTTATAATATTATCATTCTATTTCTTTTATTTCAGCTAAAACCTTTAAAAACGCCACGGATTTGGCTATGGTGGCCACCGAATTTAAACGTTCTCAGCAACATTTACCGGTGGTTATAAAACCTCGTGGATTTCATTTGCCTAAGAACAGACCAGATCAACAAAAACAAACTGAAGCTCAACAGCCTGCCGCCCAAAACTACTACAGCCATTACTTTTCCGATTTGCCTCCCTTAGAGCATTCGCAACCCTATTTCCCACTAACTGAAGATCCCATTATTGCCAAATTTCTCTCGCAACAAAATAAACAATTGCAGCAACAGCCTAGACATCAATCGTTTGCACCATACGATGCGAGTATATTAGGCTCCGGCGATTTTGGCATACTACGAGGAGGCACTTTCTATTCCGCTGAAGAACAGTCCTACAGCAATGAAGAAGCCAGTGATTTCTATTATGGTGATGCTAGCAATACTCATACGGTTTCCTCTACCGAGGGTTTTATACAAAAATACACTTATCCCGAAGAGCAGTTTGCTCAATTTCGTGATTTTGCTGATTTGGGAACACCCTCCGATTCGGCTTTTTCTCAATATGTGGTAGTATATGCTGCTAAAAATGCCACTGCACCAGTAGCAGAAAGAAGAAATTCTAAGCCCAAAAATATTTTCGAACAATTGCAAGAGATTGATAAGGAAAAAGCTTTGGAAGAGAAGAAATTAAGGAAAAATCAAACGAATCCGAGCATTACCAAATTGAAATTGGTGAGAACAAAATTGTATGAAAAGAAATGGGTACAAAAGCAGCCGGTTAAAGTTCCAGATGATGATCCTTTAATAGCTTTAAGTTAATTTTTGACAATATATTTTTTTGTATTTCGATGTTAATTGGAATATTAAAATTGGCTGTTGGAGTTTGAAAGAAAATAAAAGCGTGTAATTTATTTTAAAAACAGAAGTAAAAATTTTTTACTAAACAATTTGATATATTTTTTTTTTTAAATTTCAAGAGGTAAGTTTTAGTAAAATCTATTAAGAATGAATTAAATTTTTAGTAATAAAATGGATTTTTAGTGAAAAAATTGATTTTTAATGAAAATTGGATTTTTAGTAAAAAATTGGATTTTAGTGAAAAATTGGATTTTTAGAGAAAAATTGGATTTTTAGTAAAAAATTGGATTTTTAGTAAAAAATTGGATTTTTAGTAAAAATTTTGGATTTTTAGTGAAAAATTTGGATTTTTAGCGAAAATTTGGATTTTTAGTGAAAAATTTGGCTTTTTCGTGAACCCTTTGGCTTTTTCGTGCACCAATTCACTTTTTCGTGACCAATTCGCTTTTTGGTCCCCCTTCGCTTTTTCGTGAACCCTTCAATTTTTGGTGCCACATTCACTTTATGGCGCCACAATTAAATTTTTGGTGCAAAACTTGGATTTTTAGTGAAAATTAAATTTTTGATGAAAACATTTTTTCGAAAAAATATGGATTTTTAAGAAAAATCTGATTTCAAAGATTTTCAAAATTGTATTTGTTAATGTACTAGTTGGTGCCTAAATGACTACTGCATACCGACTTCATTACTTTTAAGAAGGGTAGTAATGACTTTCAAATAATATATTATGTAAGTACTTACTTTTTAGCCTTAACATATTATTTTCGAACCTTTTCTAACACAAACGAAAAAAAAGTAATATGGACGTAACCTCGTAGTCAAATTTTTTCTCTCAGCATCACAACTTTACGCTCTATTTGTAGGCAATCATAGTAAGTACTTAATAACTCCCTATTGGTAAACGATCGTGTAGCACTTGACTTAAAATGCTTTTGTGTAAGTGAATTTTGGTCCAAGTTTTTGTATTGCGTTTTAGATATTACGATTGTGCCAGATAGCACAACGGCAACAGAAAAAGCAGAAATTCTTTCTATTACGGATTGAATTAAATGGAATTGAATTGGCCCCATCAGGCGCTGGACGAAAGCAATTAGGGAGCAATTAGCTGATAAGGTTAAATCGTAGAACGTATTGGACAGTAACACAAAACTCTTCCAGTATCTGGCAACATAAGCATTCCGCCCAAAAAGAACCGAGAACAAATCTAGCCCATTTCAAGTGCCCAGTTCTGCAGTGAAACGTATTCCAGAGATAGCGTTTTGCATAGATCGAAACAAGTAGTAGTCGGGAAGGCCAAGATCTAGACTATAAGGTGGGGGAGATAAATCTTTGCAACCATTTATTATACCCTACACCACATTAGTGGGGAGTGTATACATATTGCGTTTGTGCTGTTGTTTGTAACGTACAATAGTATCCGTCCTTTACCCACCCACCTTAAAGTATACCAATCGGCTTAGAATCATTTTCTGAGTCTGCTTGCCCCCATACAAATGCATCCCCGAATAGGGCTTGTAAACCTTTTGAACATAATTCAATGAAATTTGGCGCATAACCATCTATTGTACCAGATATGAAGCCTATTGAAAATGGTTAACATCGGTTCATTATTTTAGATAGCCTCCATACAACTGAACCCCCCTAAACCAAGTTCTATACTAGCCTGGAAGACCCTGATGAATTTTATAATGATATAGCCTCATTTGATCCTAGCTCCTATACAAAGCCCCTTCAAAATATGACTTAAATGTTCACCATTTTAGTCGGTCTAGCCCTAGTATAATTCCTTACTTGTTTTTCAATAGCTTTGAACTGATCTTGCATTTTAACGTGTCATAATGGAATATTCATATCTGGCCGCATATTTTGGTCATTTTTCTGCCAATGCTCACTTGAAACAGAGTAGTTGCAGTTATTACAGCATAACTGTGATATTTCGGCCACAATTTATCAGCTCATAATAGATAGTACCCGTTTTGGTCCGCTTTAATATAGAGCATCGTACACAGCTCTGGATATTTGGCTTTGGTGTCTATTCATCTGATTGGCCGTAGTAATGGATCCATTTTTCATTGCAAGTAATGTTTCTGAGCGCAAATTATATTCTTTTATAACGTTCAAGCTATATTCCTGTAAAATCCTCTTTCAAGGTCAGGAATCCATCCTACTTTTGGATGAATTCTGATGATCGCCAACATTTTGATTGTAGCTGTTTGAATAAGTCATATAATTATGCAAAATCTTGTTAAGTTCTGCAACAATCTCCATTGACTAATACATATCTCCAATTCTTGATGTTCAAACATTTTAGGCTGGCTAGGGATCTCTTTGTCTTCCGTGCCAAGACTGAACCTCACAAACCATGTCTCACACATGGAAATCCAACAAACCATAAGTTTCAGTGAGCCAATGCACTTCGGCGGAACTTTTTTTTTTAATCAAAATAGTAAATAAAACTTCAAGCATAGCTAATTCCATATTTTCGAAGAAAACGATATTCAATAATGAATTGAGAATAAATGACAGATACGTACTCATCAAAGACTAAAGATGAGAATATCGTGGTTTTGAGTTATTTGTCTAATACGTGCAATAAAGAGAAGGGAGCTTGAGGAAGTTTACTTGACTAAAACAAAAACGTTCGATGCATCGAAGGCTTCTATAAAGATATGGGAGAGTGTATTCGATGTCAACTATCAAAAATCATATGTAATGCTGAAGAGCAGTCAAATACATTTTGTAATAAATTGAAAATCCTAATTAAACATCACTTGGGGTTAAAAGAAATTAATTACCTTCAAATAAATTTATATTTGTTTTTAACTGAATATGCAAATATCTCGACAACATCTATTAGTTGTATAATAATTTATGTTTTGTTCATTAAAAACATAAACATTTAACGCCCACGTTAAATTACACAACATTTTTATTAATTTTTTAATTACATGTACTCGAGTATATTCTAATTAAAATAAAATGAAGAAATAATTTAAAAAAAAACATACAAAACAAGAGTAATAAATATTAAAAAACTCAAACAAGAACATTTAATATAACATAAAAGTAAAAGCTGTCTCCGCGTGTTGTATTTAAAAACACATAAACTATTTCTTAGGTTTTCTATAGACTAATGAGTGACAATAATGATTTTCTAGCAACAAGACTTAATTGAATATTTTAACAAATTATGGCATAATAAATAACGCAGAGACAAACGCATATAAAGGTATTAATTAAAAATAATTAAATAATATTTTATTAAATAACTTATTACAGTAATAATAAACTTTAATATTAATTAAAATATATGTTTATATAGAGAGCAAAATGTAATTACATAAATTGAAAACGATTTATGTAGCGCCAGCGGTTTTATTTCACCTTTAAAAAAAATTCCAAGTTTTTTTTTTATTTATTTGGTATTTAGCCCAAAAATTTTTATCAAAATCGTGAGTTGGTGTTTTTTTTTTTTTTGTAACTATGATTACTTTAGTTTAAAGTTCAAAAGTTTAATTAAATAGTTGATTTGTTTGAATTATTGAACAAAAATGCAATATACAAAAAAAAAAAAAACCACCAAAACAAAAGACTTAAGCAACATACTTTATGTTAATAATAAAAATATCAATTTTTGTAATAGAGAGATAAAATTATAAACAAAAACATTATTGTTTATGTTGTTAATAAAGATAAATATTATTTACTGTGTAATTTCTGTTTATCTTTATTATTAAAATTAATTTACCAAAGCATATTTTTTAAGATCATTACATTTATGGTTTATTACTCAGTTTTTATTTTAATTAAATGTATGTTTTGATTGATATCTAAGTTGATTCATTATACTTATAGTTAAATATAATAAAGTGGAAATATTGGGAAATAAATATTTGTTTTGAAATAGTTTTTCTAAAATTTATTGGAAGTTGCTTGTAGCAAAGGCTAATGTTATATTTCAAAATCCGCAATTCACCACTGAATATTTTTTATTTAGCTAGTTAACTTAGTTTAGTTAGTCAGTTAGTTAGTTAGTTAGGTATTCGTGAGTTAGTTGTTATAAGTTAGTTCAGTTAGTTAGTATAGAATTAGTTGAATAGTTAGTTAGTTCGTATTAGTTAAGTAGTTAGTTAGTTAGTTATTAGTTAGTTAGTTAGTTAGTTAGGTTAGTTAGTTAGTTAGTTTAGTTAGTTTAGTTAGTTAGTTAGTTATTAGTTAGTTAGTTAGGTAGTTAGTTAGTTAGTTAGTTAGGTTAGTTAGTTAGTTTTAGTTAGTGTTAGTTAGTTAGTTAGTTAGTTAGTTAGTTAGTTAGTTAGTTAGTTAGTTAGTTAGTTAGTTAGTTAGTTAGTTAGTTAGTGTAGTAGTTAGTTAGTTAGTTAGTTAGTTAGTTAGTTAGTTAGGTTAGTTAGTTAGTTAGTTAGTTAGTAGTTAGTTAGTAGTTAGTTAGTTAGTGTAGTTCGTTAGTTAGTTAGTTAGTAGTTGTTAGTTAGTTAGTTAGTTAGTTAGTTAGTTAGTTAGTAGTTAGTTAGTAGTTCGTTAGTTAGTTAGTTAGTTAGGTAGTTAGTTAGTTAGTTAGTTAGTTAGTTAGTAGTTAGTTAGTTAGTTAAGTAGTTAGTTAGTTAGTTAGTTAGTTAGTTAGTTAGTTAGTTAGTAGTTAGTTAGTTTAGTTAGTTAGTTAGTTAGTTAGTAGTTAGTTAGTTAGTAGTTAGTTAGTTAGTTAGTTAGTTAGTTAGTTAGTTAGTTAGTTAGTTTAGTTCGTTTAGTTCGTTTAGTTAGTTAGTTAGTGTTAGTTAGTTAGTTCAGTTCGTTAGTTAGTTAGTAGTTAGTTAGTAGTTAGTTAGTTAGTTAGTAGTTAGTAGTTAGTTAGTTAGTTAGTTAGTTAGTTAGTAGTTAGTTAGTTAGTTAGTTAGTTAGTTAGTAGTTAGTTAGTTAGTTAGTTAGTTAGTTAGTTAGTTAGTTAGTTAGTTAGTTAGTTAGTAGTTAGTTAGTAGTTAGTTAGTTAGTTAGTTAGTTAGTTAGTTAGTTAGTTAGTTAGTTAGTAGTAGTTAGTTAGTTAG